TTTGAAAATATTGTACAGTACATACGTACGTACGTACGTACTGTACATACATACCAGATACCTGATACGTACGTACGCACGCACGCATGCACATCAGAAACCCAAGAAATTTTTCGCGCTGAGTTTTACAATTCATTACCCGTTGTCATTATAAGATTCCCAATGGCCAAGCAGCCCAAGCACAGTCAATGATTCAAGCTAGTCAGATGTCTCAATTTATTTGTGGCACGATTTCTTGAATTTTTGCTGCCGCTGCTAGCACTGAAATACATATAAGACCTCCCGTCTGTCTGTAGTCTACCTGTCCTACCAATCCAACCATACTAGTACACACCTCTAGTGCACATATTCCCCAATTTTTTTCTTTTTTTTTTTTTTATTAAGCAAACGCTTTTAACATCACGGCGTATTGCTGTCCATATTTTACATAAGGTACCAGTGATTGAAGCATTATTTTACTTGTTCTACTTGGAATTTACTTGAACTATCAACGGAGGTTACTCTTTAAACTTTCAAGACTGAGATAACTGAATAATAGCGATGGAAATCACAAGCTAAAAGCATTTGTTTTATAATATTTAAAATAGGCACAATCTGTCTGTTCATATAATACATAATAGTCATGGATGCCGACGAAGTTGCCGCTGTAAGTAAGACTTTATGTCTAATATGCAATGCATTTCATAGTTTGTGTGGGATTTCACTTTAAAGCTTTTAATTTTGGCGGTTTAACTTATGAGACACTTAATATACTAGTTTTCTTAAATTATCAAATTCTTTTTTATAATATTTTTTTTATGCTAAACCTCTCGCTTATATATTTCAGCTTGTTATTGACAATGGCTCCGGTATGTGCAAAGCCGGTTTCGCTGGCGATGATGCTCCACGCGCTGTGAGTAACTTATCCTATTTTGTTGGAGGATTCAACCCAAATATATGGTTTATATATTATTATGCTTACTTACGCGATAAAATCAATCTAATCTGATTTGAATGTAATGAATATTTAGGTTTTCCCTTCTATTGTAGGCCGCCCTCGCCATCATGGTGTAATGGTTGGCATGGGTCAGAAAGATTCATACGTAGGGGATGAAGCTCAATCTAAACGTGGTATTCTTACTCTTAAATATCCTATTGAGCATGGTATTGTGACGAATTGGGATGACATGGAAAAAATTTGGCATCATACATTTTACAACGAACTTCGTGTTGCTCCCGAGGAACATCCTGTGCTCTTGACTGAAGCGCCTCTCAATCCTAAATCTAATCGTGAGAAGATGACTCAAATCATGTTTGAAACTTTTAATGCGCCAGCTTTTTATGTTGCAATTCAAGTAAACTATTATCAACATACTCATTATTTGTTATATATATATATATATTATGTTGATTAGTTAAATTAATGCTTATTTCATTAATAGGCCGTTCTTTCATTGTATGCATCTGGTCGTACCACTGGTATTGTTCTTGACTCTGGTGATGGTGTCACTCATACTGTACCAATCTATGAAGGTTATGCTCTTCCCCATGCTATTCTCCGTCTCGATTTAGCTGGTCGTGATTTGACCAACTACCTTATGACGATCCTTATGGAACGTGGTTATTCATTCACGACCACTGCCGAACGTGAAATTGTTCGTGATATTAAAGAAAAACTCTGTTATGTTGCTTTGGATTTTGAGCAAGAAATGCAAACTGCTGCTCAATCATCTGCTTTGGAGAAATCTTATGAATTGCCAGACGGTCAAGTTATTACTATTGGTAATGAACGGTATGTTATTTAATTCACGGAATATTTTGTTTTTATTCATTCGCTTATGTACTTATATGTATTTTTAAC